CATTTAGACAAAAAAAATTGTCCAAATTGGTCCAGGCGTTGTTGAGTTATGCGCTTAGCAACACATTTTGCGATTAATTTTTATATATAAGATAACTCACACTGAACGACATTTATATACATATATATATAATATATTATATATTTAGTATACAGTTGGTAGTAATTCGTAAACTAAATTCATATATTTTCTCCATTAAAATATAGTACCTTCCTAAAAATTTCGTAAAGAGCTAAAGTAACATTTATTTAATTTTTGTTGTTTTTTTTTATACATAGATAGCATTTTTTTTTAAATTCCGTTAATAAAAAAACTAAGTTCATTTTTTTTTTCTTTGGAAAACAACCTCTTAAAAGAAAGTAACACTGTATTTTTATTATTATCTTATTAAATGCCTATTTAATTAATTTTTCTTCCTAAATTCGTATTCTTAACGTATATCGTAACGCCAAAGCGAAGCTATCGAAATTTCAAATAAAAAAAGTACGTTAACGCCCAATATCATCATTGTAACCCCGCATCTCGATAGGTTAAAGTTTACGGCATTCCAACTGTCAAAATTATTGCCATTGTCGTCATCAAATCTGAATGTGGGCATTTGTTTTCATAACATCATCAATTGCGAAAAGGCGTCAGGTATACAGATATAACACATGTTTTGAGCTCTTGAAGTATTTAAATTTTTATATGGATGACAAAAAAATTGATGTGGAAAATAAAAAAGGAGAAATACACTTTTTTCAACAAATTTAAATCTTGAAAAAAATATTTCATATTTTCGAGCTATAATAATTGTGCATACATTTTATATACCAATTAAAATAAAAAAATAATATGAGCAATGATATTTTGATTTATACTTGTATAAATTTATTAACTTCTCTCATTCGCCAATCCATTCTGTATAATTTTTCTGCAAATTAACAATATTAATTTTTTGAAAAAATATATAAAATTATGTATTTTGAAAATGTACTTTATTTTTATAATTTAACACAACCGTCTTAATACTCGCTCTACTAAATTTAAAATTACCGAAATGAAACTGCCGTCAGTATACGTATACTCTTCGAAACTTTCGTAAAAAAGAAAACTGATCACTCAAAGTGCTGAGGTAACAGTTGTCACAGGCAATACGTACAGCAATGGTTAGTATACAATAAAGTTTTGCCTGTCGAGATGCCCCGTAACGCATAGACTGTTGTTCTTTGTCGTTGTAGTAACTGACTGCGATATACAAACGATCGCGATTAGCTGAGAGTGTACTCGAAGACCGTGGAGCAGGGATAATAGGATGCACAACTTATTCCAGTGTGAGAGCGCCTCAAAATAAGCGGACTTTTAATGTATGGCGAAACTACTTCGATTCTTTTTATGATTATATGGTATGTTAAAACAACTAACCTTTGATCTTTCAATACTTAATAAGATGAATTAAGCCTGTTAGTTCTCAATTAATAAATGTTTTTAATCATTTGTAATTAAAATTTAATTCTACTTTACAAAACGTTTCATGAAATATATTTAAATTTCGCATTTTCTTTGATTTTCATTGTTTTAAATTTTTCTTAGCGATCTTGAACGGCGGCAACAAATTCCTCCGTTCACATATATTTTTGGTACAATTTCAATCTGGCCGTTCCAGTGATTCCAATTGCAAAACGTCAAGACCTACCCAATCCACTCAACTGTCAAAGTTCGGTAGGTGAGCTCACATTTCCAGTGACAGGAGAGTTGGAGATCTCTTTATCTCTGCCGTGGAGAGTTTCGGCGCCGTTCGCTCCAAATCGGACTGACGAATACAACGACTTGGCTCATCTTAAATTGAAAGCGTACAAGTTGTGCAAGTATCGAAGACGTTCGGCCTTCACAAGCGACATCGCTTCGCACTATGGACTCTTGAAGAGTTCCAAGAAAATCTGTCGCTTTCACACTCAATTTTTTCAGCGATGAGGCCAATATCTGGCTCAATGGGTATGTAAACAAGCAAAATTGCCACATTTAATTCCCAATAAACGGTTTGGTGTGGTTTATGAACCGGTGTAATAATTAGTCTATATTGTTTCAAAAATGATGCCGGTGAGAACTTAAAACCTGAAATCGTTTCTCATTATTTAGGCGACATTTGGTGTCAACAAGACGGCGCCACTTCCCACACATCGCATCAATTAATGGAGTTATTGAGAGAACACTTAGGTGACCGGATAATTTCACGTTTTGCGCCGGTGAATTGGCCATACTTTTTACCGTAGAGATATGTAAAGTCTAAAGTCTATGGGGACAATCCCGCTTCGATTCGGGCGTTGGAGAAAAACATCACGCGTATCTTTCGCCAGTTATCAGTCGAAATTATCCAATGAGTCATCAAAAATTGGACTCAACGACGATAATAAACATTACCTGTTAAGTTTGAAGTTTCTATGTTGTTTCGTTAAAAAAGTAGGGAACCTCGAAATGGATCACCCTTTATAAGGCATGGAACCAGTACAAAAGATAAAATAGCGATATTGAGCGTTACCATGCTTTCTTAATTTAATTCAAAATTTCGATAAATACTTTTTGGTGTTTGCGATATAATTCAAGAATACGTATTTATGACCGAACATAGGTTCGATGTTTAATTGCGAGAACCGTTTGATAATAGACGATTTAATGCGCACTTGTCTGATCGTATGAGGAACAGATAAACGATTCGACATTCTACACAATGAATAACGAAGTCCCACCGTAATTACGAACACTTGTATCGCTCGCCTGTTGTTGTAGCCTGTCTTTACTTTCGCTGGTGGCGGTCAAATAAATATCATAATCTGGCGACCACGCCAATTCGACAAAGTGATCGCTGCTGTTATTGCTTGCTTATCTGGGATCAGGCCCAATTTCCCAACTGAAGCAGCTGATTAACAAATAAGCGAAACACCTTACACTAGGTCGATCTTAGTGATCTCCACATAAGCGATCTCGATTTGGAGAATAGGTAATTGGCGAACCAGAGCAAACGGATGCAATGGATAGAGTTACTGAAGTTGCAGCCTCTCCCTCTGCGTTAAATTATGGATTACTCTAAAATTCGCCACCAATGCAGAAAGAAGTGGGACGCGAATGGACTAATGTTTACCCTAGTGTTGGATCGGCCAGGATTTTTTAAGCGTGCCCGAAGGCTGCCAATGCACAAAGCTAATCTTAAAGCTATGTTAAATAGGGTATATCACCGTATTTAAACTACATTTTCTATAACAGGTAATGTAACAACTAAGCAATGTATCGTTTTTTCCGTTTTGTAATAAGTTTCATATTCATTTCTTTTGAATTCCGCGATTGGATACAGGCATAAATCCAGGTTACAAATTTAAAGTGCATAAAATTTTAAATATATATAAAAATATTATAATAATAAAAAGTTAAGGTGTATTTTAATTACGATATACAATAAACAAAAATTTAAAATATATAAAATTTAAAATACATATAAAAAATTATATAATTAGTAAAAAATAAGGTGTATTTTAAAAAATTTGTGCAAATTCATCAGGTGTAATATAAGTTATAAATTGATAAAAATATAACTTAAGGTATTTAAATAGATTGTGTCGGAGCGGCAAAGCGTCAACCAGTCGAGGTGTCACAAAGCGAACCAATGTGTTCAAAGCGTCGGAAGTGAAATCAATGTGAAATATTTTAAAAATAATCCAAACATTTGATTCTAAAGAAAAATGTATTTCCTGCGCCGAAGAACAAGGTTTGAGTTTAAAATCTAAACTTCGCAGTACTCATAAAGTGCCAATGACGCTGTCATTAAGTAAAAGTAGCACTGTTGGGGTGTTCCGATGCCGAAAAGGTGGTTATCTAATGTATGCGTATGCATCTCATTGGTCGCATGCTGAAGTGAGAAAAAACAGTTTTATCAGGGAGCCAGTTTCATCTAACGCTAGTATATGTGACTGGTATAATTACTGCCGCCAAGCCGTAGTATTATACCAGGTTGACCATCAGGTAGCGGTAGGTAAAATTGGTGGCCCTGGTAAAACTTTTCAAATTGAAGAAAGCAAATTTGGGAAGAGAAAATACAACAAAGGTAATAATAAAAATATATTTTTTTTTATGTAATTAATATATCTTTTCTTATTTTAGGGCGGAGAGTCGAGGGAGGCTGGGTTTTGGGATGGTTGAGAATGGGAGTGACGACCTGAGGCTAGAGGTATGTTCCGGCAATGTCAGATCTGCTGACGTGCTCATACCTTTGATAGAGAAGCACGTGGCAAAAGGCAGTATCATATGTATACAATGGAAAATTTATTTCAGATGGTATTTGTTTCCTGCGTTTGAGTTTTTATATGCATTTTTATTCGTTTGATAAATGTGTAATTATGGCAACACTTATTATCTGTCAAAAAATTACTGAAAAAAATATGTAGAAACAATTTAGTGAAGTGTAAGTGCATAATATGAAATCAATAATTACTAGAAATCGAGAAATTGCAAGATAAAATTTGCAACATTTTCAACTTTAAATGCAAATATTTCGAAAACTATAAGGTTGCGGCGGCAGCAATTCTATATTTTCTTAATCTGGAGCATCAGCATCCAACCATACAACTTTTAACCCCGAAATCGTAGGATTGTAAACTAAAGTTTCCCCTGTGCGGTTGCAAAAAAAGGAGTTAGTTATCGATGTTGATTTGCTTCAAATCTTTAACTTGAAATATTTAATTTAATTAACCTTCGTTATCTTACTGAAGTTGATATAAAGCCATAACGGCAGTGCATTTGGAGGAATTCCTTTATGTTATATTTAGGTATAAAGTCAATTTCCTTGTATATACCGGAATCCTTCTATATACTATTAATCTAAAAACGAAGATAAGAATTGTTAAAGCAATTGGTAGCATTAGAAAAATTTAAAGAATTTGTAAAATGAGATTATTGAATAATTGCAAACAAATTACATTTATCGAAGTTTAAAACTGTATGTATTTGAATTTATTTTTCGTTCACAGTAAAATATGTACAATTTTGTGCATTAACAATTCTTTACAAAAATGACACGCGACAATTAGGGTATTCATAAGGTGTCATATTGTGTCATATCGTCGTATTGTCATATTTTTTTATGACTGTCATAACAACACTGTTGTTGTTTCACATGCAAAATTAAAATATGACTGATACAACACTGCGTGGTATGTTTCTTGAGTTCGCTATTCGCTTTGAATATAAGTGAAATATGGAAATATTTTGATATTTATGTGGTTGCAAATGATTTTATTGCAGTTTAAACCAAAACGCCGCCGTTTCAACCCGGTACATAAGTGGAATGCGGCAGAAGAAAAAGCGCTTGTGGAGTTCCTAATGGAAAATAGAAATTTCGAGGTTTGTCATTTTAATTTAAAAAAACAAAACAAAGTCAAATAATTTTTTTTTAAAGAAACCAACGGCTCAAAACTTTTATGGTCGTTTCATCGAAGACACGCAGCTGACGGTAGAATGGAAAGTAGTGCGCGCAAAAGTACGCAATATGCGCACTAATTATAACAAAGCAAAGGAGTGGGAAGGGTCGACAGGCGCAGGAAGTATGGAAGGCGACACAATAAAAAGTAAATTCTTTTAATGAAATCTCTTTTTTTTTTTTTAATTGTGACCATTATTTTTTTCTACAGATACTTTAAGAAAAATGTGTTTTTTCTATGAAGAGTTGGACGATATTTTCGGCAGCAGATTAAATTGTTCTGCAGTAGTGGAAGACAGTTTGGTGACGATGTTAGAAAGCGATTCTACAAGTCCATCGGGAGCAGAATGTGGGGTTGAAGCGGGCAGTTCAGTTGAAGCTGAAGAATTGCAAAGTCTTGCGTTGAACGACAATGTGCGTTCTCGAAGGCAGAAAGGAATATATTCCAAAACTGCCTTGTCAGATATTTTGCAGGTTCATGGCGAGATCGCAGAAATAAGGAAGCAAAAGCTTAAGATGGATGTTGATGCAAGGGAAAGGGAAATCAAAATCAAAGAAAAGGAATTAGAGTTAAAAGAAAAGGAAATAGAATTAAAGAAAAGAGAAATTGATGACAAATTGGAAATTGRAAAAATGAAATTACAAATGCAGGAGAGGTTGGCAATGGAAAAGCTTAGGCTTAAATATAAATAATTTTACAATGCACTACATTTTTTGTTCACTTTTGTTATGAATTAATTTTTATTATTATGTGTTTTTTATGTTTTAAATGAAGTTTTTATGTTATAAGTTTTGTTGTGATATTAATAGTTAGTGCCTTTTGAAGAATACGAAAATGAAATGATAAATAAATAAAAATAATATAAATAAAATATCAAAAATATATTTGAATTATAATTAAGCAAAATAATCATGCATTTTTAKTAACTTGTATGGTTAAAGAACAAATGCATATACATATGTGTATAAGTATTAAATATTTTGATTTTGTAWATATCGAAGCAAGCAATTTCTTTTTAATTTTTTAAGAATATTAAAATATGACATAAGACATACAACAAAGCTTGTGAATTGCCTAAATGATTAATATTACACTATAAATACGTTGTAAATAGAAGCCTGTTAAAATGAGCTGTAGCGAAGATATAATTTCCTTCGCAGGTGCATTATTTATAAAAGCAAATTGTGGTTTTGATAGTTCTTTACATTGCAGCTATATTCTATAGTAGTCCGATATGAACAATTTGTTTGAAGGTTATGACGATGACTTGGAAAATAACCCCTGCAAAATATTGTTAAATAAAAATTATGCAACCAGTTCGAAAAAACAAGCCAAAATTTAATGGTCGAAAAAGATTTAATAACGGAAACACAAAGCACGCAAAATTTGCAACATTTGTGGAGTAGTTGCCTAAAAAATTACACCAAAACCAACTGTGGTAAATGACTTGTGTTAAATATTATTTTAATATTATTGATTTATTATATTTGTGGATTATAATTAAATTTTATATCATGGATAAAGGATATGGTGTCAAGTGCAATAAAATAAGCACTTTTGGAATATTAATAACAATCCGTTTGACTTTAAAACCTTTGGTTGGGTAAAAGTTATTCAATATTTAACGTTTCATTCATATTTATTTATATATGCAATAACAAAACAAATGCAAATTGACAAACAACCAATGTTACCTATCGGCATCTTTTGTAAATGAACTGAATAAAATAAATAAAGCAGACCTCAATGACAGGAAATATATAAAACATTGTTAGTTTTTCGAGTGGAATTTTTTCTGCATTGCCTTTGAAAGACACAGGAGTGTACTCAAATTTTTCAATTTCATTTTTCGATTTCAATGCTGCTTTTGACAGCACGCAAAGTATCTGCCGTTATGCCGCGATGTCTGAATTTGGTATCCCCGCAAAACTATAACGCCTGTGTAACTAACGTTCCCACGACAGTCGGGTCTACGAAAACCGGAACGGACCCGGACCCGCCCAAGGACTGTCAACACGGCAGAATTCTGCCGTTACAACAACAACTAACGTTGAACAACACCAAAAGCTCCGTCAGGACCGGAAAGGACCTCACCGAGCCGTTCGATACCAAACGAGGTTTCAGACAAGGCGACTCCCGTTCGTGTGACTTCTTCTACCAACTTTTGGAGAAAACAATCCGGCCTGCAAAGCAAACAGCTGTTGGCGTATGCCGATGATATTGATATCATTGGACTCAACATACGCGCTATTAGTTTTGCTTTCTCCAGACTGCGTAAGTCGTTGCACTCGCGACTTGGCTCTCACGTCACTTATGATAGTCATAACTTCGTAGTTGTAGATAATTTCCCTAATCTTGAAACCAGCATCAACACCAACAACAACGTCAGCCTTGAAATTCAACGCAGAATAACTCTTTCCAACAAAAAAAACAAAACTCTATAAGTCGTTCATTATTCCCGACCTGTTATATGGTGCAGAGGCATGGACAATGACAACATTTGAAGAGTCGACGTTACGACTTAAAAGACAGCGGCTACGAACGATACGTCATGTCGTCCGAATGAGCGAAAACACTCCATCTTTGGAAGTATTTGACGCAGTACCCGCCTTGGGAAGCAGAGGAAGACCTCCACTCTGTTGGAAAGTTCAGGTGGAAAAGGACCTGGCTTCCCTTGGAATCTCCAATTGCCGCCACCGCAAAAATAAGAAACAACTGGCACGCTGTTGTTAACTCGGCTATTACGTTTTCTACGCCAGTGAAGAGGGAATTCTTTGGGTCAAATTCGTGCTTGGTGATTTTAACGCCAGGGTGAGCAAAGAAGGTATCTTTGGCACAACAGACGGTGTATTCAGCCTCCACGAGGAAACATCATCAAACGGGTTAAGACTGATCGACTTCGCCGGGGCCTGAAATATGGTTATGTATAGTACTGGAATCCAGCATAGAAAAATTCACAAAGCTGAATGGCTGTCTCCGGATCGAAAAGCATGTTGTGATAGACGGAAGACCCGTCTTCAGTGTTTTAGACGGGAGCATAACCTTATAGAAGCCAAGTTATCAGGTGACTGATGCCAAGAGCATACTAAAATTATGGAGGGAACACTTCTCGAGCCTGGTGAATGCCAGTGAAACGCGAATGACCCTAGCGCAACTTCATTCTGGATACTGTAGCAAGTTAAACTCATACTTATGTAGAATTGACCCAAACATACCCAATGTATGTCCTGCATGCAACGAGTCTTCGCATGATACTGACCACCTCTTTGCATGCCCTCCCAAACCCTACTCAACTAACACCCTAATCCCTTTGGTCCGACCCCTTCGAAACAGCACGTTTCCTGGGCCTCTCGTTAGATGACCTCGACGACATCGCAAATAACCCTTACCACCCAAACGGGGATTAGATAATCGTTAAAACAACAACAACAGCCCGACTGTATGGTAAATTTCAACATCACCCGTTATGGTTAAAATGGGTACGTGTGGATAGAGGAGGTCCTCCAGACAAGTAAAAATATATATAGTTACCGCTGACTTATGGTTTTTGAAATATTTGCATTTAAAGTTCTAAAATTCAACTATTTAAAACGCGTGTTTTTCCGATTTATAATGAATTTTACACTTAAACTTTTACATCCACTAACACTTCACTAATTCTTTCCTAACCATTTACTTAAATAGTTGAATTTTTTAACTTTAAATGCAAATATCTCAAATCAGCGGCAACTATATATATATATATATTTTTTTTTTTTTTAATCTAGAGGATCTCCTCTATCCGTACATACCCATTTTATCCCGAAATCTGGGGATGCTATTCTAAAATTTACCCCGTTATCAATACAATTTGTCAGGTTGGAGGACGAATTTTAAAATTGACTGAAGTACCATCTAGATCACCTGAAGAGCTTGCTTAGCACCGTATACGAAGTCCTTAATGGTAAATTCTCTGTCAAAATAAGGTCGAATTATAAATTGTATTAATATCCAATTTCTCAATGTATTGATTGTTGAAGGCCACAGCGTTTCAGGAAAGTCCATTAAACGAGGCAAACTTCGTGATCCATCCAAATGAAAATTACTGTGGTCCGGGTTGGGAATATTGGAGGAGCTACGATGATTAGCCATGAACAATTTGTAATTGCATAATTCCTAAAAGAAAATATGAAATTTTGATCCAAAAAGAAATATTTAAAAAAATACTTTTGTTTTGAATGAGGTCACTAATGCACGACGAAAATTTATCACACGCAACATAATATTAAAAACACTTCTCACACCTATAATTTATTAACAAAACTCGGGGTTATTGTCATCGCGTTAAATAATATTGATATGTTTGAAAATATATTTATCTTACAGGGCATCTCGACAGCATAAACTTTATGGTTTATTTTATACTAACTGTATTGCCGTGCTTATTGCCTGTGGAGACTCCATATTGCTTATGGAAAGCAATATATGGAATATTAATTAGTATGTCATATAGTTAAAGCAATAAACTGTCACTTCAGCAGTTTAACAGCGCAGTTTTCATTTCTATGAATATTTCGAAGAGGCAGCATATCCCATTTGCACATATGCCGACGGCATTTTTATTTCGGTAATATGAAATTTAGAAGAGCGAGTATTAAGATGGTTGTGTTATGTTATAAATTAAAGTACATATTCAAAATAACATTATTCCAAAAAATTAATATTTAGTTTAATAATAATAAAGCGGAGTCGGCCGATAGCCCATGATGCTAGTGCTGCGTATTTTCTT